ACCCTCTCCACCCATATAAGTTCTTTCTACTTTGATGGTACACATTTGTCAATGTACTACTTTCACTATAAATATCGTTGATAAACATTATTAGTAAAAAATGTAACAATTTAATATTCCTAAAATACTCTTGCATTGAAACAAATCAAATTAAAGAGGACCCAACATTACTATGTTATGTTGTTTATATTGAAGAAGTAATTTAGAAGAAGATTATATCATGTTATTGGATTAGTCATATATTATGATTTAATAATATCAACTTAATATAACTTTTACTAATAGAATATATATACAAGTATATTCTATAATAGATATCAAAACTGTGCATTAGCTAGTGTAAGTGCCAATGAAATTAATGGATTTATTTAGAAACTAAGGTCCCGTTCATTTCACCTTATTTATGCTGAATTGAAATTATTTTTATTGGACTGAAATTATTTTTGCAGAACTTAAATTATATTGGCTGAACTAAAATTAATTTGCTGAAATTATTTTTACTGAACTGAAATTATTTTACTGATTTTTTATTAAACTTCTTTAAAGATAATGTTTTTTGCTGAAATGAAATTATTTTTACTGAACTGAAATTATTATTTTTACTGAATATTATTTTTTAAAGGTAAAGTGAACATGGCCTAAGTGAGAGTTAATACTAAAAATATTGTATATCAATTACACTTTAAATAATGATTTACTAGAATTATTATATCAAGATTTCACTAAACTAATATCATTTTTGTAATTATATAGAGTATTTATTTATTTTCTAATTATTAGTTTTAGAGTTGCATTCATTATATTACCTTTGTTTCTTTTTATTTGCAACAAATTAAATATTTTATGTCTCATATAAAGTACCCCTTTGCTATAAAAAAAAAAACGAATGTAGTATTATCTAACTGTTAAATCAAAATCGTGCTCTATATCCTAAAATAGGTAGTATCCGATTTTTTATTTTTTATTTTTAAACGACATTATCAAGTGTGGTACAGTTGTAGGTCGCAAGTCTAATAACATTCTTTTAGTGTTACCTTACAAAGTTTCTCATTCTTTTCTTAACTAGCATAGCTTAATAAATTGATTGTTACCTTTATCCTTTTTGTATTGATACATTAATCTTACTCTTTCCCAATAACCAACTTTTATAATACTATGTATAGAAAGCCTACAAAATGTACAAGTATTCATTCTAAGCTAATTTGTTTCTAAATTCATAAACCACGCAATTCAAAATGGAAAAACATAGTGATGAAATAAGCCAATTTTATGCTACAAGACTATATGAAGCCGCACTCAAGGGAAATGTAACTTCCTTGGGTGAGTTGCTAAACTACGATGAATTTATTCTCGATCGACACATCAATAAAAAATCATGTATCTTCATAATCTCCGTTACTTGAATTACTCGGTCAGGGGTTACTCGAATTGTTAGGGTTACTCAAGTTACTTGGTTAGGGGATACTTGAGTTACTCCTGACCGAGTAACCCCTCAAGTAATCCCTGACCGAGTAACCCCTCGAGTAATCCATGATCGAATCTCTCGAGTAAAACCTGATCGAGTAACCCCTGACTAAGTAATCCCTAACTGAATCCTCAAGTAATCCATGACCGAACTCCTTAAGTAACTCCTGATCGAATTACTCGAGTAACCCCTGATTGAACTCTTTAAATAACCCCTATCCGAGTAATTCGAGTAACCCTTGACCGACTAACTCGAGTAACTCCTCAAGTAACCCATAACCGAGTAACTCGAGTAACTCTTGACCGACTAACTCGAGTAACTCTTGACCGACTAACTCGAGTAACCCCTCAAGTAACCTTTAACCGAGTGAACCCCTCGAGTAACCCATGTCCGATCTCCTTAAGTAATCCTGAGTAACTCGAGTAATCCCTAACTGAAAAACTCGGATAACCCCTGCCATCCGGTGTGACCTGTTACACCAAAAAGTTATTGTTATTTTTAATCCCACAAACATGAAAGTCGTGAGGTTTGGGCTTTTTTCGTCTTTGGGCCTCGGGCTGCCGCTCTAGTTGTCTTGCCCCAAATCGAGTATACGACAATTTAGATAGTGTAATTTATACAAAGTATTTCAAAAGGTGACGAAGTAATGCTTACATCATATGCATGACAAGTTACGAATCTGTTAGACATATGATATGACAAATTGGGGTGAAAGAGAGAATGATTGGCTTTTCTTGATTTATTATTCATTAATAGTGTTTCGGGGTTTTTCGATGTGTCCTGCGGGAGAGTTACAATTCCAAGAATGCCCTTCGACGCCTGTGCCTGCAAAATCACGAAGTCTCCTGGGGGTAGGAGCTCCGCCTCCGACGATCAAGTTAGTAAAGATACGGGAGGTAGAATGCAAGAAATATTGAAGTTACTTCTCGCGTAATGGGAGAATTCCGCAATTAATATTGCTCGGGGTAGGTGTTTGTTTTTATGAGGAGTATTCAATGTAAGCAATGAATGTTCCGATCCCTATTAATGAGGGTCCTTCCACTATTTATAGTGGGGAAGGGATGGTTCCCCTTGTAGGGTTTAGAGGACACGTGTCAGCAGAGGATTGGAGCCCTGCTGACCAACGGCTGGATGCCACGTGTCACTAGGCCATTGGGCCACGTGTTTAGGGTATTTTTACCCCAAACATTTGCCCCTCACTGGTGCTGACGTGGCAGGGTGCCACGTGGCGCCGGTGAAAGGTTTTTTTTTTTTTTTTTTTTTTTTTTTTTTTTTTTTTTTTTTTACAACTCTTCAGATTCTTTTTGAAGGATGGAAAAGCAGAAGGCGAAGAGTCACTACTCTTCACCCTCCGGGACAAATCCTATAAATAGGAGAAGATGTCCCCCGAGCTCTCATTTACAAACTTTGCCAAATTTCTGAAAATTTGAGAGCAGCCGGCAATTTGAGAGTTGAGAGCATTCGGAGTTGAGATTCGTTGAGAGCAACCGGTCTACAGACCGTCTGGGTCGTTGCAAGCTAGCCAAAGGTTTTCGAGAGGGTAATCAGAGAAACCCAGCCGGATTTTGAACCGCCTGCGTCTTCGCAAGCATCCCAAAGAATTTCCAGATTTTCTTCTAGGTACCGTCTCTATTCTTTCTAGCTTTTTCATGTATTTCCGTTTGAGTCTTTTACTCGCATTTTTGTTCATTGGTCCCATAAGTAGATGGACCCCTTATACCCATACCCGGAACCTAGCTGTGAACTCAGCCGGTTTATTAGTACGGCTGAGTCTAGAACTGGGTCTGCCGCCTCTGTTCTTTGGGACAACCCTTTTTCAACACCCATATCGACCGACTCTGTGTCTGTGCAGGACACAATGGCCAGAATCCGGTCTACTGCCAGAGATCCCAACTACAGAAGTGGGAGCTCAGATGAGCAGCCGCCTGAGGTCCCAGCTTCAGGCGGTGAAGTAGAGCAAGGAGAGGTAGAGCAGAGAGGCTCACCCGGGGGCGCTCCTAGCACCCCGGGTGATAGCATTTTAAACGAAGAAACTGCTCCCCTCCAGGAGACCAGAGAGCAGGTAGGCTCTGATAAGGAGGTCTCCAACTCCCCAGCCGGCTCTGATGCCGGTCACGTTCAAAGTAGCAGTAGCAGCTACTTAACCGAATCTGAGGATAGCGAGGAGGCGGAGAGACCTTCTTGGGATAATAGGAACGATCCTCTCATGATCGCCGTCTCCTCTAAGGACCGCGAGCTCATGCGGGCTGCGCTGCCAGATTTTATCAAACGGCGGCCGCTGGGGGGTGACTATACAATAAAAATCCCGGCTTCTCTGGGAACAATATGGTGGGAGGATGGACAACCGAACGCGAACGCTTGGTTCGGGTGCTACGAGGCGACCTTCTTGGCCGGAGTCCGCTTCCCTCTCCACGACACAATAAAAGCCATACTTAGGGGGTATGGCCTAGGTCTCTGGCAATTAACCCCCAACTCATGGGTAAATATTTTAGGTTATATCGCCGCCTGCGAGATGCAGGGCCTCAACCCCGGCTGGGAGGCGTTTGCCCACATGCATTACTTGAGTAGGAGCCCAGGCGGCTGGAGAGCCTGGTATACCTTGACCACCCAGCCCAAATACCTTATGACCTTGGACAAGCCATCCAAATGGTCGGACTGGAAGCACCGGTTCTACTTGGTTAAGGCCCCAACTATGGCAGAGAACAGAGAATTCCGGATCTACAACCGGAAACCAGAACTCTTGGGGACCAAGTGCTGCCTGCCCCCTGTCCCGGAGGATGATAGAGAGACTATCCTTGACTCCGGGTTTTTTGAGTTAGTTCCTGACACCCTCTCATCCGGAGAGATAGTAAGGGTACCTAGAAACTGGGTGCCCAAACATGAATTTTTTAGGGACGAGTGCTTCTTGTCCGCTTGTGGTCTAAGCAGCATGTTTAAAAAAACGTATGTATTCGGAACTTCAGCCGGTTTCTTTCGAACCGGATGCTTTTATTTCCTTGCTTGTTTATTATTCTAACCGTGTGCCTTCCTCCGCAGAAGAAGCCAAGAAAATGCTGCCCACCGAGAAGACACCGGCTAGGTCGGCTGCCGACATTCGGAAAGCCAATCTCGAGAAAAAACTTGCTGCCCAGGCGGCGAGGAAGGTATAACCGTCTGATCCTTCTCGTTTATTTCAATCCTTTTATCCCAGGACTTATATTTTTCTCGTTTACAGGACGGGAAGCAGATGCCCCGGTCCCTTCAAAAACAGGTCAGGCCTCCGCCGACCCAACAAGAGTCTGCATCCAAGGTGCAGAAGACAGCCGACCGGCAAACTACCGGCGGCAAATCAATAAAGGTCCCAGGCGGGCCTGGATCTGCGGATGTGCTTTCTGCCATCCCATTGAGGACCGCAACCGGTCCCTCTGAAGGCCGTTCGGGCCGACAAGGTAACTTCGACCTTACACTGCTTGACCTGCCCATGCGGGTCAAGTCTTATTCACAGTCTCGATCGCAGCCGGGGGATTCTCCAATCAGCCGGCAATCTATAGGCAGAGCATATGCGAGTTTCTCACCGTCTGTTTCTGGTGCAGATAATTCTCCCCGCTGGCCGGACGGGGCACAATATGCCCGGGCCATGCTGAAAGCCGTCCCCAGGGACGAGAAGGAGGCGATCCCTGGGATCAACTCCTTTAATGCCGACCGGGTGCTGGTCGACCTGGCCGACGTATGCTCCAACAACCATGCGGTAATTTCCTTGACGTGCATTTTTAAATATGCAGTATTAATCGGCTGTATTTTTGCAGGCTATGCTGCGCGTAGAGGGGCTCAAACGAGCTTATACCCGCAAGTCTGAAGAGGTAAGGAGAAGCAAACGGGCTGTTGATGACGCCCATAATGTTGCTGACTACTCTTTGTACATGCATGGCTTAGAATCTAAATCTATACGCATGGAACAGGCGGAGAAGACCAAGGCCCTCCAACAGCAGATTGATCAACTGAAAAACCAAGTTGACCAACTGCAGGCGTCCCTGGATGATGCCAATAAAAAGTTGGAGGAACAGAAAGAGCCCCTCCAACGGCTGAGCAAGGCGGAGACTGAAAATGGCCGCCTTGCCAAAGAGAATGAGCGCCTGCGCAAAGAGGCGGCTGCTGCCAATGAGAACTTCAAGGCCACCTTGGAGGCGGAGCAGGACAGGCTCATTGAGGAGAATGAGCTTGGTTGTGCAAACCGGATGCGACGGGCGTTTTCCCTCATCCACCCGGAGACGGACTTCACCGTCTGGGAACTCGCCTTCAAATATTCTGATCTTACCATTCTGGCCGAGGAGGCGAATGAGCCGGGACCCGGACCCTATGACGCTTGGGTTGGGGAGGAGATTGCGCGACGGCAGGCGGAGGCTGCTGAAGAGGAAGTTGTTCCTGAAGCCGACGCAGCCGCTCACCCTGATCCAACCCAGAACCAACCGGAAGAGGACCGGTTCACTGTTCGCCTGGAGTAGCAACTACCTCCCGGCCCGCGCGCCTTGCATTATCTTGTAATAGCGCCGGATGAGATGGGCTAAGCTGTAATAATTTTTATTTTGAATATTTAACATTTTCACCGGCTGAGCCGGCTTTTGAATGCACTCTGTTTTTCACACTGGCTTTTGAATGCTTTTTATGTTTCTGCACTTCAATACTAGAATTCTTGTTATTTTTTTATACATATTTCTGCGAGGATAACCAAAAGAACCCCGCCGGTAACACTACCGCTTGAGTCTTCACAAACAGCAAAGAAATTTGCAAGGGTTGCCAAGAAGACCCCACCGGTAACACTGCCGTCTGGGTCTTCGCAAACTAGGCGAAGAAATTTGCTAGGGTTGCCAAGAAGACCCCACCGGTAACACTGCCGTCTGGGTCTTCGCAAACTAGGCGAAGAAATTTGCTAGGGTTGCCAAGAAGACCCCACCGGTAACACTGCCGTCTGGGTCTTCGCAAACTAGGCGAAGAAATTTGCTAGGGTTGCCAAGAAGACCCCACCGGTAACACTGCCGTCTGGGTCTTCGCAAACTAGGCAAAGAAATTTGCTAGGGTTGCCAAGAAGACCCCACCGGTAACACTGCCGTCTGGGTCTTCGCAAACTAGGCGAAGAAATTGACCCAAAACCAAACCGGATGGCGTCTGGGTAATTGCCCTGGATAGCGGTCTGGGTCTTTGCAAGCCAGGAGGCTATCCATATGATATAGCTCGAATATACACTTAGTGCCAACATTAGATTCGGGAGCCAGTCGGTTTATACTGAAATACCGGTCGGGACTTCGCAAAAGAATCACGCCAGTTTTAGGTTGTCCATTCACCAATATGCGAGGCACAAAACCCCGCATGCAGATCTTCCAAGACTTCTCTCCCCCTATCCGGGGTTACACATTTCAAAAACGGCTGCAGGTATCCCTTCCGGAGGAGTTCCCCTTGATGCATAACAAAACTTGAAGCACGCTTCTTGAGCGCTGATGCTTCTGAAGGGTCATCCGGCAAGGTACCATCCGTCAAAAAAGACCGGATGGGATCCAACCAGGTAGCACTTCTGTCCAGGACTCCAATGGGATCATTCTGAATACTTCGTTTTTCAATGACTTCCCAAAAGATCGTCCTAGGAGCATCACAGGAGGCTGATGATGCCAACTTTGAGAGGGCATCCGCCTGATTGTTTTCAGACCGGGGCACCTGTCGCAGATGAAATTCATCGAAGGACCCAGCCTCCTCTTTGACCGCCTGCAAATATTTGATCATAGCCGGATGGGTGGCTTCGTAGTCACCAAGGTACTGGCTAACGATCAGCTGTGAATCTGAGCAGGCGTCGACCTTTCTTTGCACCGGCTGCTTTACACATGCGCATTCCGGCTAGCAGGGCTTCATACTCTGCTTCATTGTTGGAGGCTTGGAACTTAAACCGTAGTGCATATTCAAACTTATCCCCTTCCGGGGAATGACAGATAACACCTGCACCACAGCCGTTCACCGTAGAGCTGCCGTCTACAAATAACTTCCAGACCTGATCAGGGTTTTCCGGTTGCACCGGCCTAGTCATCTCGACAATGAAGTCGGCAAACGCCTGACCTTTCACTGCCCGCCTGGGTTCAAAAGTTATCTCAAAGCCTTGTATTTCAACAGCCCACTTGATCATTCTACCGGATGATTCTATAGCAGTCATCGTGCGCTTGAGCGGCTGATCTGTGTATACCACAACCGGATGTGCCAAAAAATAAGGCTTCAACCGCTTGACTGCTACGAATAAGGCCAACCCAAATTTTTCGATCATGGGGTACCGGAGCTCAGCATTTTTAAGGACATGGCTGATGAAGTACACCGGCAGCTGAATGCCGTCTCTCTCAGCGAGGAGAACGGCACTAAGGGCGTGATCAGAGACGGCTAGGTACATGTACAGAACCTCCCGGGGTAGGGGGCTCACTAGCCTTGACAAAGAATGCAAGTGCTGCTTAAGCCTCTGGAATGCCGCCTCTGCTTCTTCACCCCATTCAAACCTTGACCTCTTCCTGATTGCCTGGAAGAAATAGAGGCACTTGCCACCTGACCGGCTGAGGAACCTCCCCAATGCCGCCAGACAACCGGTCAACTTCTGGACCTCTTTTACAGTGCGGGGAGACTTCATGTCAATTACCGCCTGTATTTTTTTCCGGATTAGCTTCGATGCCTCTTTGGTCAATCAAGAATCCGAGAAACTTCCCAGACTCAACACCAAATACGCATTTCTTTGGGTTAAGCATGACCCGGTGCCGCCTGAGTGTGGTGAAGGTTTCTCGCAGGTCTGCTAGGTGATCCGTCTGTAGCTTGGATTTGACTATCATGTCATCGATATACGCCTCTACATTCCTGCCAATCTGGTTGATAAAAACGGTGTTTATCATGCGCTGGAAAGTAGCCGGTGCATTCTTCAACCCAAACGGCATCACCGTATAGCAGAATAACCCCTGATCAGTGACGAAAAGCCGTCTTCTCCTGATCTTTCTTCCAGAGGGGTATTTGATGGAAGCCGGAATAGGCATCCATAAAGCTCATTAGCGCATGGCCGGCTGTTGAGTCGACTAGGCTGTCAATCTTTGGAAGCGGGTAGCTATCTTTTGGGCATGCTTTGTTCAGATCTGTGTAATCCACACACATCCGCCAAGTACCGTTCGGCTTCTTTACTAGAACGACATTTTGCCACCCAATCCGGGTAGTAGCATTGCCTAATGAACCCAGCATCCAACAGCTTTTTGACCTCAGCCGCTGCCGCTTGAGATCTTTCTCCACCATGATCCCTCTTTTTCTGCCGAACCGGCTGCTTTTTGGGATCCACGGCTAGCTTGTGGACAGCAAGATCCGGGCTGACGCCTGGCATCTCTTCCACTTCAAAGGCAAAGAT